AAGACAACACGAGTTGAAATACGTGGATTTGGCGGTTCGACTGGTGCCCTAGCAGTGAGTAGGCGTTGCCTGGTCAAGGGCAGGAACACGAGTGGCGCCTGCCAGAGTTGTGGTAAGTGATCTTAACAACTGATAACCAGACCTCGTGCCTCTGAACAGATGCCTCCTGAAACGCCTTTCTTCGTGAAAATGTGGACGGCGAAGAGAGACCAAGGTGATGTGGTTCAGAGTCTTATGCAGCAGGCGAACACCATGTGGACACTGGTATGAACTGCAAGCTAGGTACCTAGGTACGTTGGAAGCGACAGTGGTGGTAGCTTTGACCAGGAGGCAGTTCCACCAACAAGACGGCAGCGTAGGTAGGAGAAGAGCTCTCAGGTCAACGGCTTCGGCTGGGAAAGTGCTGTGTGGTGATGTAGGAGATGCGAACCATCCAAATCGTACCAGCCGTTGATGAAGATTTTCGATACCGGAATCGTGGCGGGTGAATTTACAATCGAGCAGCGTCACGCAGATCTACGCATCAAGGACTATTAGCCCAGTTTACTCATGCTCAAAAGCATCGTCTAGAGGGAAATCATCAGGCTCCTACTTTTGCGGTGACGTGAGAGCGGACTTGTCACTTTTGTGCTGCGACAGTCATCTGATTCGGCTGGAGTCAAACATTTCCATTCTGCCGCCTGTCGTTCCTGCATGAGCCTGCCACCGCCTAAGCTGCTCCTGCCGCCGCCGCTGCTGCTGCTGTTACTGCTGCTTACGTTACCTACCTACCTACCTACCTAGGTAAGTAGGTACCTGCCCAGAACGCTCTTTGGGCGGTCAACCGCTGAGTGTGGAGCAGTGGCCGACGGAACGTGCCGGGCAGGCTCCACCAGCGGGACTTTCTTCGCCCATCGATCGCACTGACGCAGCAAAACACGTGAAAAGCGAGATCTCGCCGAGATGCTGCGTTCCATTCTAGTTTTGGCACCTAGCGTCCGCGACACCTCACCAGCCTAGATCCTCTTCCGCGGAGAGCCTCCCGCGGGACGAAACAGACTCTTTGCTGCCAGACGGCCACTGCTCGAGGGGACAGCCCGCCTGTTGTCCGAACTTGCACGATCAAACGGACCCAGCAAGACAAGTCCCTGCGAGTTGCAGGGACCCCGAAGAAGGCTCCATCGTCCCAAGTCGCTTGTTTCCCTTGGCTCGCTTCGTGTTTCTTCCTCGAGGCCCTGTCAGAGAAGATGCAGAAGCAGAAGAAGAAGAAGAAGAAGCTTGTTTGGTTTTGTCTTTTCTTAGCATCAGACAGGTCGTGCCCACTGACCACCTCACCTATTCTTACCTGCGGCTGTCGAGCCCCACGCCCACAAAAAGATGAGGACCAAACGGTTTGACATGGTGGCTCAAACCAACCTTCTTTCTTGAGACCAGAAAGAATAGAAACCCTCGTTCGCCGGCCGGCTTGTCCATGCCGCCGTGCGTGGGATAAAGGCTATAGCATGGCAACCCTTGGAACCAATGAGCGGATTCTGCGGATACGGCATCTATTTTCCGCCGCGGCGCTCTCGCTCGCTTCTCCCAGCACTGTAGGCTGCAGGCTGCAGGCTGCAGACTGCAGACTGCAGACTGCACCGCTGCCCGCCCCGTCTCGTCTCATCTCCGATGACGGCCAGCGCGCATCGTGTCGTGCGTCGGTGCTAGATGCTAGATGCTAAAATGCCTCTCTGGACCCCTCCTTGTGCCCTGAATGGGGGGGATACCGCTGCCCCTCTTCTGCAGCTCGAGACCTTCATACCGAGCTGGTGGATCTCTTACTGAAGAGTGTCCTTTCCGGGGGGGTGGGAGAGGGGCTCGTTTCGCGCCAGGCGCCGTGAAATACAGAAGGCGACCGTGCTTGAACATGCGCTAAAAGTGGGAGATGCAGGGCACAAAATGGCGCCGGCGACCGAGGGCTTTAGCTCGAATCCATCGAGGCTGTCTCCACGGCCCGGCGGCGCAACATGCAGGCAGACAAGGGAGCAAGGGGTTGGGAACACACTGTAAAGTGAGGGACAGAGGGGAGAGGGACAACAGGGCTTACCAGACTGTACATGGCAATGCAACCACGCTGGAGAGCTTGGGAGATGTGTGGGGGTGCTGAGGTGCCTGCTGGAAAGCCCTCGCTGCTTTGGGCTTGGTGGTGAGCCCAGTCATGTCGGGTTGCAGTTTGTGCGGTGGATGAGGCTGGTCGCCGCCGGCAGAGCAAACTGTCATTGGGATCTGTCATTGCCAAGCCCAGCCAACGGTATCATGTCTTACGGGCTTTGCCCTTTGGTCGCTTCGCAAATTGATCCCACCCCCTTAGCTTGTCGATTCGGGCCCTTTGCAGAACCCCGGAGATGTGAACACGTCGTTCGAGACACCACTATGTCATGACTGTTGTGCAAAGCTGCCCAGATGATGTCTGTTGCGCGCCCGACCCCTTTGAAGATCGCGTCGATCACAGCGGTGTGCTGCTCCGTTCTTCGGGACGCCTTTGACAACGTGGTCAAACTTTTGGTGGCTCATCTCAACAGCCTCAGAATCGTGGAACAGGAATCGGGCATTGCGGAGCTGGGGAACGATAACGCGTCAAGGTGGCTCACACGGGGGGCGAGGGCGTACCAGGTAACGGACACCCAGTCACCTACCTACCGAGACACAGCAGACGGTGGGCGCGGGTCTCCGGTGGCAGGTGTTTCCGCATTCCTTGGATGGAGGCTGCCCGGGGAGCGCGCGGAGGTTTCCCGCCAGCCATGGCAGGGGAGGAGGGGCCAGCCGTTTCTGAAGACACCAAGAAACTTGTCATGACACTAGTGGTGATTGAAGACAAAGCTGTCCAGGTATAGTGATCCATCTCACACACGGTTCGGCCCAGTCTACTTTTAGCCCCCCTCCCCCCCTCCTGGACGTCCTGGTTGCGTTGCGTCTCTGCGGCCTGGCGTCTCCCGCCGAAGGCGTGGAGTGCGCTGTGCGACTGCAGCGGTTGCAGGCTCACTGGAGGTGACACTCGGGGCTTTGGGACGAAATCTTGGCAGGTGCTTGTGCGGTGAACTGCGAGATTGGTTCCTGTATTTGGTCGGATCGGCGTGGAAAGGGCGGATGCAACACTGGTGGCGGGCAGACAAAGTTGGTGAGAGTCAGATTGATGAGAGATACCTTTAGATAGAGAGAGACGATTGTCTCGTTGGGAAGTCTGGGCTTCATACCCGCCCGCTGGGGAGGGCCCCGGTGGAATGCTTTGTGTCTCCCGTTTCTTGGTTGAGGTCCGCTCCCTGCCTTACTTTAGGTATTTCTGGCAACTGTCAGGGCTTCCCTGTACCAGTAAAGTTCCTTGGTGTTTTGGGTGGAAGAAACAACGGGCCGCAAGTGTGTACTCGTATAGGGTATAGTAAGGCAAGGTACTTAGACAACAAGGTGAGGTGGACGAGTCGCAGGCGCTCATCCGCGCACGCCTCTCCCAGTGCCTCAGTGGCGGTACCTACCGTGGGGAGTGACAGCGATCCGGCCAGAGTGAGGCAGACTCAACATGGAACATGGAACTTGGAACCTGGATCTGAATCTGGATCTGAGAGGCATGAAGGCCTCTGACCTGACTATCCCATGATCCCAATGGGGCTCTTCCTCCACCTTCGCTCAGCTCGCACAGAGCCTGGGAGCTCGAGGGGGGCGACCCCCATCCCATCCCATGCCATCCCCATATTGTCTCAAGGCGGATGGAGGTGGGCGTCTGTGGAAAGCAAGATGAGGAGCACCGTAAGTTGGGGGGGCCGTCATTGAAGCTCATCAGAGAGAGAGATATTTATCGGCCCTGCTTCCCCATCCCTCCTCCATCAGCGCCCCCCGAGTCCTCGGTCTTTCACTTCACCCCTTTCTCACATTTCGAGTACCCAAGACACGGAACAGACACAGACACAGACACAGTCTCGCTAGATCTCTCCTGTGTCTGGCCATCCTCATTACAACGTCTCGCCATCCCAACGCCATCATCTCCCCTCAACAGGTCACATTGTCAGCTGGGCGCACCTAGAGACAGACACACACAACAGTCGCAAGGCGAAAGAAAGGCAGACAAGGGCACCGAAGTCGATCGACCATCGCCCCCTGCCCCCTGTCATCCTCTCCTTGGCTCTCGCCCTTCCGCCGCTTCCACCCCTGTATCGAAGCGTACCCTGGTAGGACGCGCCACTCAAGCACCGCAAGACGGGCTGGGATCAACCACGTTCTCCGTCGACCTCTCCATTTCTCGATTTGGAGAAAAGCCTCACTGGCGACTCCTCATTGGACACAACCCCCTTCTCCGCTGTACGGCGCCAGAAGGACCCCCAAAAGCGCCGTCACCGCGCATCTGACTCAAGCGGAAGGCAGTCAAGGAAGTGCCTGCCTCAGCGCCTGGGCACCTCCTTCTCCTCCTCCTCACGCCGCAGAAGGTACCGTTCTGTGCGCGATACACAGACAGGCACAGCCAGGCAAAGAGGAAAGAAAGACGAGCCACCGACGCCTTAGGTTCCTCCTGCCTGACAAGGACTGCGCAAACACACCACTGGAAAACCTTAGCAAGCACCACCTTCAACGTACCTAGCCGTCTAGGTAACCCATAATTTTTTTTCCAATGCCTTCAAGAGTTCTCCACGAAGAGCATCAGCCAGGTCCGTCCCCCTTCTCCTTCTCTTTCTCCGACTCCTACCACCTTTTTTTTTCTCCCATCCATCCCCCAACCCATCTCATCCCTATCTCATCTTTGTTTGTCCCACCATCCATCCGACCATTCAACGATTCCTCTTGTGAACAATACCACTTCTCTCCTGCATCTCTGCACCTCTGCCCCTACTGCACCTATCGTACCTGCCGCATCACACATCGAATCCACCTTGGTTCAAGCTATTACCTACTGCATCGCCTGCCAGAACCGCCAGACCGGAACCCTGAGTAACGAACCCTGCCTTTTAGTAGACTTCGGTCGCAAACAGGCAAAACAGTCGGCCCTGGCAAAGTTGGCCATGGGTGGCAGCCGCGCATCGCTGTCTCCGTCGCAAACGCCTCTTTCCTCGTCTCCCGATCTTAATGGCAACGGCCTCAAGGCCCCGAGCTACGACTTGGACTACTCGAGCCTCAAAAATGACGTCCAGCCGCCGCCGTCCTCACACCCCCAGGATGGCCTCCTCCCGCCACCTGCCGTGCCGGTCATGCAACATGCGCTGCGCTCCATGAATGACATCAGCGCCACCTACCCACTGCGCGACCGCGTCCCCTTCGCCGCCTCCGACACACCTCCGAACCTGCGCAGCGTTGTGTCGACCGCGCCCAACTCCCCACGAGTTGTCCCAAAGAGACAGAATTCCGCGAGCGCCACTCCGCGCGTCCGCGGCCATGCGACGACACTCAACGTTCCTGGCATGACCAGGTCCCGTGCCTCTCCCGACGGCAGAATTCCCGACCGTGATGTCGCCGCCAAGATGGTCATCATCATGGTCGGCCTGCCCGCCCGTGGCAAATCCTACATCACCAAGAAGCTGCAGCGCTACCTCTCTTGGATGCAACACAACTCGCGCATCTTCAATGTCGGCAACCGTCGTCGTGTCGCTGCCGGAGCGCCAGGCACTTATCATCACAATGGCGTCAAGTCTGTTTACTCTCCGCCAAGCAACGCAACCCTCGACCCTCCTTCGGCCGCTGCCGAGATTCTCCTTAACGGCAACCCCGCGCCCAGTGCGCAGCCGTCTTCTGAGCCTGTCGAGTTCGACCTCAACGGCGAAGATCCCCACGACCCAAACGTCGACCAGTCGGCCAACTTTTTCGACCCCAACAACGAAACAGCGAGCAAGATTCGCGAACAGGTGGCCCTCGACACGCTTGACGAGCTTCTCGACTATCTTCTTCACGGCAAGGGTTCTGTTGGCATTCTTGATGCCACAAATAGCACCATTCACAGGCGTCAGCTCCTTGTCGACCGCATCAAGGCCAGAGACGACCGACTCGGCATACTCTTCATCGAGAGTATCTGCCACGATAAGGACGTATGTGGCAACCACTCCAAGTTTTGGCTTCAATCGCGCTGACAAATAGTAGCTCCTCGAGGCCAACATGCGTCTCAAGCTGTCTGGCCCAGACTACAAGGACAAGGACCCCATCAAGTCTCTGGAAGATTTCAAGAAGAGGGTCGAGGCTTACGCGAGCGCCTATGAGCCCATTGGCCAATATGAAGAGGATCATGACATGCAGTACATCCAGATGATTGATGTCGGACGCAAGGTCATTCAGCACAGGCTCCGTGGCTTCCTCAGCGGTGGCATAAGCTCCTATCTCACAACCTTCAACCTCGCGGCCAGGCAGATCTGGCTCACGCGGCACGGCCAGAGTGTCGACAACAGCCTCGGTAGACTCGGGGGTGACTCCGAGCTCACGCCCCAGGGCCAGCAGTATGCACTTGACTTGCATGACTTCATCACCATGAAGCGCAAGGCTTGGTTGATTGACCAGACGGACAAGATTGCGCAGTCATCCTTCCCGCCTCTCCCTGGTGATCATACACCTCCATACCCCGAGGTGAACCAGGAATTGGACGACAAGAACTTTTGTGTCTGGACCTCCATGCTGAAGCGTAGTGTGCAGACGGCCGATTATTTTGAGGCTGACGAGGAGTACGATGTCAAGAACTGGGAGATGCTCAACGAGTTGAATGCGGGTCTCTTCGAGGGCATGACCTACGAGCAGATTGCTCGCGACTACCCCGGCGAGTACGAGAAGCGGTCAAAGGACAAGCTGCATTACGTCTACCCCGGCGTCGGCGGCGAGGGCTATCTGCAGATCATCGCCCGCTTGCGCGACATGGTGCGTGAGATTGAGCGTATCACGGACCACATTCTCATTGTGGGACACCGTTCCGTCTGCCGTGTCCTCATGGCGTACTTCATGGAGTTGCAGCGTGAGGATATTGCGGACCTCGATGTGCCCCTCGGCATGCTGTACGCGATTGAGCCCAAGCCGTACGGCATTGACTTCCACGCCTACCGCTACAACCCGGAGAGGAGGTCATTTGACGAGCTGCCCAACTACAAGCCTCGCAAGACGCTTGATCGCAGTGCCTAAACTGGCATGCTGGCAATCAATCCGGCACACACCAAACAATACACAACATGACAGACGAACTGCAGGAGCAGACTTGTACAAATACATGACGACTTTGGGGCGTAATCGGACTGGGATGTTCACGGAATTCGGAAGAACGGGGACTCGGCGCAAAGAATATTGCCTGGCATGGCATGTGTCTTTTTCTTCTTCTTCTTTCCTCCATGTCTGGCGTTACGGGGATTAAACAAACAGCAAACCCCCCTTTTTTGTGCAGCCACGGATACCCACGATGCTACGAGCAATGATCAGGCTGCTTTTTTCTGCGTTTCAGTTGCTTTCAAGACATGTAGAGTACGGTAGCAGCTACAATGGACTAAAGCTAAATTCTGAAAGTCGGCCCATCGTGGTCTTTGTAGAGAACGTTTCCAATGTGGCGAATGCGTGGTACATAGTTCGAGCAGATGCAAAGCAGTTGTGCAAGACCCCCTGGCCCAACTTTCAGGCATTGTGTATCGGCATTGACCTCGGCCAACGTACGTTTCCTCTTCACTATTGATGTTCACTGAAAGCTTTTCCCACAATTGTTTTCTATGACACTGTCGAGTCCTGACTGTCGAGTCCTGACCATGCACCAAGCATCCATCGATCTTGCTACCAAGTAGTGTCAAGCCGTGTACGGGTGGGTGAGATGGATGCGTCAAGACTGAGTTACCTAGCTCACCACTGCCCATTATTCTTATTCGTTGATTGAATCGACAGACATTTGCTGGCGAGAGTTGTGAGCCTTCTCAAGCAAACGCATCATCGCACCAAATGAGCCACACAAGGCTGCTGTGGTGTACTACATGTACCTAGGTAGTATGTACATGTAGCTGGCCCATACAAAGTAGAGTCTTACAAAGTACCGCTGGAGCTGCCCCGTTGCCTGGTCGCCCCCGCCAATCACAGACGGGCCGGAGCAGCAAAGCAACAAGCTCCAGCGGCAGGCACAAGGCAGTCCGATTGACGCCCTGAGCTCCCTGCGCTGCCAAAATTTCCCCATCATCCAAACGCGCCTCAGCATTCACAACTACCTACCTCACCCAAGCGCGTCCTTGCCATCGCAATTCCCGTCAACCAAACCTAGCGGACGCGCGCCACCTGACGAAGTGCTAGACTGATGCTCTGAAAAGATCCTCACCGATACCGAACCAATGTCCCTCTTCGGCAACACCTCGAGCGGGACCACAGGCGGCGGTGGGCTGTTTGGCGGCGGCGCGACTGGAGGCTCAACAGGTGGCGGTCTGTTTGGGCAGCAAAACCAGCAGCAGCAGGGCGCTGCGGCGACGCCGACGACACAGAGCTCCGGAGGTCTTTTCGGCGCAAAACCTGCTGCTCCGACCGGTGCAGGCGGGCTCTTTGGCGGAGGTCAGGCGCAGGCCCAGCAGCCACAACAAACAATCGGCGGCGGTGGCCTCTTTGGCGGTCAACAAGCCCAGCCGCAGCAGTCAGGCGGGAGCTCGCTCTTCGGTGCATCCACCCAACAGCCGGCCAGCGCGAGTGGAGGCGGAGGCTTGTTCGGCAAGCCAGCGACGACACAACCCCAGCAGACCGGTTCACTGTTTGGCGGCTCGACTCTGCTCGGTGGAGCATCCAACACGCCCCAGACGGGAGGTGCCTCGACCGGTCTGGGAGGTTTCGGCCTGGGGGCCTCGACAAACCAGACCCCAAGCAAGCCGTCACTTTTCGGCGCCACGACGACCCAGCAGCCTCAGACGACGACAAGCACGAACAACTTTGGCGGTGGCTCGAGCCTCTTCAATCAGCAGCCGCAAGCCCAGAACAACCAGTCCCTATCCCAGTCCCAGACGGCCCAGCCATCGGGAGCTTACTTTGACAGCCTCTTCGCCAAGACAAAGAAGGAGGCCGATGGAGAGGGTTCGCTCGAGGATCTCCCCAGCCTGCAGCTCGGCCTCGGAGACCTGCGTCAGCGTCTGAAGAGGCTTGGCTCCAAGCCCCAGGAGAGGGGACTCGATGGCCGCGCTCACTATCTCCTCGCTGCGTCCGGCGTCGATCCTACCCTTGCTGCTAAGGACCTTGGGTCTCTGGACCTGCAGACTGGCCGTGTCGAGCGGTCCTCCGGTTACGCCCCCGTCGAGCTTGATGTCGAGACCTACCTCTCCAACCTTCAGTCCAAGACGACGTTGAGCATGATTGCCGACGGCCTCGAGCGCTCGGCCCGGGACTTTGACAACTTCCTCGAGGACAATGTTACGATGGAGTGGGACGCCCAGAGGAAGCGCATATACGAGCACTTTGGCATCAAGCCCCGCGAAGAGGCGGTGGGAAGCACGGGACACCGAGACTCTGTCGGCCAGGGCGGCTTCGGTCGCTCTCGGCGCGGCAAGAACCCCCAGGCAGGCAACCGCACCGGGAGGCAGAGCGTCCTGGGCAAGTCGAACCTCCAGCGCTCCGTCATTGGCACCCCCAGCCGCATCGGCACGCACTACCAATCCGAATTCTCTGACGTTGAGCGGTCCGGCGATGGCGGTGGCCTGGCGGCTGGCGGCATCACCACGGACGACAGGTCGCTCCGGGAAAAGCAAAACAGGCTGGCGGAGAAGATTCGCAACCTCAACTCGGCTCGTCTTATTGCGCACCCCTACGCTATCCTCGCCGAGCTTGCAGATGTCGAGCAGAGGTCCCACGACCCTCACGCTCCCCATATCGTCGAGGCCTACCGCGCTGTCAGCGAGATTGTGGGCGAAGATCCCGAGGCCGACACAACCATCAACGGTGCGACGGCCAAGGAGAGGCAGTTTGCAGAGATGTACATGGACGAGTCGGCCAACTCGACAAACGCCGTTGCCATGCGGAAGCGCATCCTCAGCGGCGCCAACTCATTCTTGGAAAAGCAGTTCCTCCACGAAGTCGAATCTCTGATCGCCAAATACCCCCACGAAGCCAATCTCGGCGGCCGACCCGACATTGTTAGCAAGATCAAGGCCTACATTCGACTACGATCAGCACGCAAAGATCTCGTCCCCGACAACACCGAGCTGCAACAGGTCAAGGACCAATATGTCTGGGCTATCGTCTTCTACCTGCTTCGCTCTGGCCACGTGAGTGAAGCTGCCAGGTTTGTGAACGACAACGCAACGGCCTTCCGCAGCATCGACCGCACGTTCCAGAGCTATCTTAATGGGTACGCCGCCAGCGACGACAGACGTCTTAAGCGGAACCTGCAGGACCGCTGCAATGCCGAGTATGTGCAGCGTGTACGCAACGCGCCAGAGAACTCTATCGACCCCTTCCGGATGGCCTGTTACAAGATCATTGGTCGCTGTGACTTGAACAACCGCAACCTCGATGGCCTCAACACGGACATCAACGACTGGATCTGGTTGCAGTTCAACCTCGCCCGGGAGGGCGATCGCTCTGTCGAGGTGGCCAGTGAGGCGTATGGTCTGGCCGAGGTGCAGTCGAGCATCAAGGAGATTGGCGCAAAGCACTTCCCCAAGACGTCGTCGGAAGATTCCAGTGGCAGTTTCGGCATGTTCTTCTACCTGCAAATTCTCTCGGGCATGTTCGAGGAGGCCATTGCCTATCTCTACCCCTTCTCGTACGTCGACGCGGTGCATTTCGCCATTGCCCTTGAGTACTACGGCCTGCTTCGCCCATCTGATCCCTACATGGCCACGAGCGACCTGCGCAGCCTCAACTCCAGAGACCTCGTTCAGATCAACTTTGGCCGCATGCTCGGCTTCTACACCAAGGACTTCCGCGCCGCTGATGTCGTCTCTGCCGTGGACTACCTGACGCTTGTCTGTCTCAACATGGACCTGCCGGGCGAGGCGGGCCGCCGCAACGCCAACCTCTGCTGGGAAGCCCTGCGCGAACTTGTGCTCGAGACGAGAGAATTCAGCAAGCTCATCGGTGACATTCGACCCGATGGCCAGCGGATACGCGGCATTATCGAGGAGCGCGGCTCCCTCATCGGTCTGACAGAGGAGAACGACTTTATCAACACGGTGACGATCCAAGCCGCCAGCTTCGCCGAGGAGAACGGCCGTACGACAGACGCCGTCCTGCTGTATCACCTCGCCGGCGAGTACGACACGGTCGTGGCCATTGTCAGCCGCGCCCTCAGCGAGGCCATCTCCCTGGACATTGGCCAGGACCCCCTGAAACTCATGCCCGTCAAGCCGCGCGACGCCGGCCAGCAGGTCGAGGCTGGCAGCAGCCTCAGCCTCGCGTCCATCGACGACCCCGTCGAGCTCGCCCGCACCATGATGTCCATGTACGAGCGTGACGCCATGTTCCACCGCCGCATCCAAGACCAGAACCGCGTGGCCTGCCGCGTGCTGCTCGAGATGAGCTCCATCAAGTCTCTTGTTGAGGCGAGCCAGTGGGCCCAATGTCTTGATGTACGTTTATTCTCTCTCTCCTCCAGACAGAAGAGACCCAAGCTGACTCGCCCTTTCCAGAAAATCCGCAGCCTCGAGATCCTGCCCCTCGAGGCCAACGGCGACCCGGCCATCGTGCGCGCCTACGCCGCCAAGTTCCCGGGCCTCTCTCAGCCCGTGTCCATCAACGTGCCCAACCTGCTCATGTGGACCGTCCTCGCCTGCACGCGCCAGCGCGAGCAGCTCTCGACCGGCGCCTTCTCTGGCAACGAAGGCACGCGCCGCCTCATCATCGAGCAGATGCGCCAGATGGTCCTCGACCTCACGACCTACACGTCACAGCTGCGGTACCGCTTCCCGCCCATGCTGCACGAGGCCCTGGCGAGGGCCTCGGCGGATTAAGGGGGTTGCTTCTCGAGGGGGCTGCACGGGGGGCGGGTGCGAAGACGGAAGAAAACGAGGGTTTACTGCGAAAAGGCCGGCTGGCTTGGTGTACGACCTGTGTTACTGTATATAGGAGGCAAGCGCAAATCAACGGTGTTGCGCCGGAGTATCCCGTCCCGTTACAGTGCGTGACTTTGCGTTGATCGAGAAATGATTGTTGATTTGTGTGCCTGAATACTCTTGGAACGC